CCTCAGCCTCCTGAGTAAAAAAATCCTTTCTTAGTCCTACATCCTTCTTTAGCTGTGGCCTGATTTCCCTCCTTTTCTTTAAAGTTGACTTCATAAAAGAGTAACCCACAATCCTCACCCCTCTCCAGTCTTTCCTCCCCCTCCACTGAAACCACCCTGTCTGAGGTCACTGATGGATTCCTGCTTGCCAGCAGGCACTTTCCAGGCCTCATGAGAGTCTTCCTCACGTTATCTGACCTCTCCACTACTGTTGATGCCACTGACAACCTTCTTCCTTCATGAAATTATCTCCTTCCTTGGCTTCCCTGGTGCTGGCTCTTCTGCTCTTTCTCCTCCCTGTCAACCTACTCCTTCCCAGTCCTCTTCCTGTTTATCTACTCCTAAATATTAATAGTACTGTTTCATCCGGAGCCAGTCTTTTCTCATGTCCCAGCATGTGCCCCCCTGGGCTATCACTTTTTCTCAGGGCTTCACCTAAAACCTATAAGCTGGGGGCCCACAAATCACGCACTTGGACTCACAGGTGACTCCACTTGAGCCTTCCAAAGACAGTTCCAACATCTGAGCTACCCTTTCCCCCACCAAGACAACTCCTCTTCCTTAGTCCTGTTTTTCAGACCCCTTTCTACTAATCAGAGTTTAAGGCAAACTGGCTCTGGGAATCTACTTTTCCCATTCATTTCCTAAAGGACTCCCGTCAGGCCCACTTGTAGGACCTCAGCCACAGCAGAGGAAAGCCCTTGGAGTCACCCAGATGGGAAGTTGCCACAGCCCACGCTTTCCCAAGCTTGGCTTTTAGGTCCATATTTACCCTGAGTTTCCCTGTGTTTGGTCTTCCTAAAGAAAATATTTAGAGAATGTCTTGCAAATTCAGTCTGCCTTAGGGGAAAGAGGAATAAATGGCAGTGAGCGTAAGTTATCTGGCCCTGCCTTGGAAACCCTTACCTCCTCTAAGCAGAAGACTGAGTCCCTATCTCTAAACAGCTGCAAAAAAACCTTTTTCTTCTTTTATTTACATTAAAAAGCATTACTATAAGAGATGCATTTTAATACCTACCAGTCTTCCCTCTCAGGAAATATATTACCATATTTGACTTTAGTGCTTTCATACTACAACTCCCGTCCTCCAGGGAGGAAAAAAAGATGATTGCCATTATCTCTCTTAAAAGTCTTTATTTTTAATGGCCACCACTAGATCTCTTGGACACAATATCTTCTCCAGACACAATAAGCTGGGTTCCTTTATCTTTCCTGCATATATTGCATTTTCCAGTTCTTTGTGTCTGTTATGACTGACCTCATGTAAATTATAGTATTAGACATTGAAGCGTGATGGAGAAGACAGTAGAGGAAGTGTTTCTGGAGGGGCTTAGAATCTCATATAAAAGGAGAGAGAAAATAAACATATGTGAAATATATATACACAAAGAAACATTAAATAAATACATAGCCACTTTAGCTTACTGGACAAATAATGTTGAAGGAATATCAGAGATGATTGTGACCAAAGTTGGTTAATTTTTGTAAGAAGAATAATGAATCGTGTTTGGAAGCAAGTAGGACCCTGCCTAGTAAGGAGCAATTGGAAATTCTCTTTGTTGTTCATCAGTTGTATTCATTGAAGTATTCATCTCCGGCATGTAGCACAATGCCTTATTTTAGACACTCAGTAAGTGCTTGTTGACTATATGATTACCGACTGGGCATAGTACTCCAGGAAGAGTATGCCAGTATGATTTGGTTTGCAAATTTGTAAATAAGTCTGATATCCTGTATATCCCTAATCATAAAAATTTTAGAATTTTAAAGCAGAAAGGATTTTTAAGTAGCGAAACATTACAGATATGCTCTCCTGCATTTGTCCCTGCCATAGATCATTTCATCTTCCTTTTAACTCTTTCTCCAGCTGACCTATGTTTCTACAAACCTGAAGAAGAGGCAGGAGCTAGTCTTGAAATGATTTTGCAGCCTTCTTACTGGACTCCATTTCTTAGCACTGCTGCCACATTGCTTTCATTTTACTTTATTTAAGGGATTTCATTATTAAGCATTTACCTTTCAGTAAGATTATTCCTTCCATTTAGCCACCCCTAAACATCCTCTGTCTCTCATATTGTCATACCCTGCTCCCCTTGAGTCCCACTGAAAGACTGCCCTAGTTTTCCTTTCCTGCAGATAAGTTTGGGTCCTTGGATCTTGGAACAGCAAAAGGACATTAGTGAAACAACTGGTGAAACCTGAATAAAGTCTATAATTTGCATAATGTTAATTTCTTATTTTTGATCAATATGCCATGGTTGGGTAAGATGTAAGCATTAAGGGAAGCTGGATAAAGAGTATGAAGGTATGAACATTTTACAAATACAGAGAAATGTTAAAAACTGTGGAAGCATATGTGAATATTCTAGTTATTTTCAAAAACATACTTTTCAAAATATAATGAGAAAATTGCAGACTACTAAAGTACACTTTTAGATAGTTCTAGATTGTAAGGTAAACAAAGTAAAAACAAACAACCCTCATCTGGGTTCAGCCACCTTCCCATTCAGGTTTTTCCTCACTCCATTCCCTCCATTCCCATGGCTTCAGCTGTCCGCTCTGTGCTCCCATCAGAAGTGCCCTGAGTCTTCTACATCTCAGGCCCAGATCCATGCTTGTCGTTCCCCACACAGGCACTGGATATTCGGCACGTGGGAAGCTCAGTTTTTTATTCCCTCCCCTGGAAGCCTACCCTCAGTTGGCCAATGGCATCACCATTCTGATCAGGCTCTATACTTCAGGGTCATCTTAGACCCCCTTCTCCTTTTTCACTTATTCCCAATGTTCTCACTTCTTCCACTTCTCTTTTTTCTTCCAAAAAGTCTCCGGCATCTACCCACTCATTCCTTTCACTGTCCGCTTGCCTACCCTAGAACAGACTCTCACATGCTTTGTCACCTGTCTGTAGTCTCTCCACCCTCCCTGCTGCCTTCAGAGGCATACCAGTGTGGCTTTCCTGCCTCAAAAAGCATCAGTGGCTCTATACCGCTACCGGCCTAAACTGCAGTAATAAACATCCATCCAGAAGAGATGTGCATGATATTACTAAATTAGATGGTCAGCTCAAACCTACCTCCCTCCTTCCGCCACCCCTAGCCCCAAGAAATTAGAAGGAATGTAGGCCTTTGGAGTCAGAAAGTCCTGGCCTTGAATCTCGGAAGACATCCCTTGATCATTTCTGTCATGTGTTTGTGTTTTTGAAAATGGAGGTTGATTACATCTCATGGTTCCTCCAGGGACCATGGTCTACCTTCCATGACAAGGGCCTTCCTGTGGAGAACCTAATCCTACATGAAGGAATTGAGTACTTTTCCTATGCCCTACCCAGCTGTGCTGGGCCTGTGCTCTGCTTCCTGTCACAAGTGCAGCCCTGAACCATTAGAGGTGAAGGGAGCCCAGCCTTAGGAACTGCATTCAGTTTCCCAGAATATAATGCCCTTGTCACTTGTCTCATTCCTGTGGGTGAAACAGTGCTTTCCAGCAGAATTCTTCAGCGACTTTCCTACTTTCCAGGAGAGGTCCTTACTAGAATACACCTACCCCAGTCCTCCGTCCAGTCAGGACTTCGTCTAATTGGTTCAGTGCTCCATTTTCAGTAGTCTAATACAGTGCCCGATATGCAGTATGTGCTTAATCAATATTGGATGGATGGAAGGATGAATGATTTAATATCTAGGATTTGGCAACTAATGCATACTTAATTGAAAGACTGAATAATGATTTTTCCAATGAGCAAGATTATTAGGCCAGTGGTTCTAAACCTCGACTGTACTAATCACCAAGAGAGTTTTTGTTTTCTTTAACACTGATTTATGAGCTCTACCCAGGCATATACCCTGTTGTTTTCTAAAAGGTCTCCAAGTGATTCTAATAGACAGCCAGGATTGGAATCCACCGTGTTAGACTACTCAAAAAATATGTACCCCATGCATAACTCTTTATCATTTTCAATTACCACATTGTATTGTAATTATCAGCTTCTGTGTCTTTTCCTCACTTGACTTTATGCTCCTTGGCCTCATACTGGGGCTGTCTTCCTAATGCCTGGCATAGTGCTTGGCATATAATGAAGAGTCATAAATGTGAATTGGATAAATTGGTGGTTTCTTTCATTTAAGACCCAAGAAAATTGCATAGTACCAAATAAGACAAAGAGAAAAATGCTAGTATCATGGATTTTGTTTTGGGTTTAGTTTGTGTGTATGTTGTTTTCCAGTCATCTACACTTTGGTAACCTGTTTGCTTGCCCATAACGGGTTATTTTTTTCTGTTCATTCATTGTCATCTATTCAGATGCTGTGAACAGATAGCAGCTAAAGATATTGGACTTTGTTGAAGAGTCCTAATTTAAAATGTCTTGTCCCATTATTCTCATTTGTACAGAGGTTCTAAAATTGCCATCACTATACATATGAGAGGATAGTTCATTAATGTGATATTCAGTATCACTCCTCCTCATTAATGAAAGCCATAGAAGCCTCTAGACACGAGTGGCCACTCCAATTTTTCTGAAATCCAAAATCAGTATATTTAGATATAGAATAATACAGCTAGAAAGATATTTAGAGACATCACATTAAACCACCCTCATTCTGCGTGAAGAAGCTGAAGCCAGGTGGGCATTTGAGGACTTGGCAGAGATCACACAGCTTATTATGAACACAGCTGGTACAAGAAACCTGATGTTCTGGTCCTCAGGCCTGGGCCACTACACAGTGCTTGTAGCTCTTAAGATTACATTAGAAGTCAAAGATCAAACTTTTACCTCCATTCTGGTGTCTGTATTGGGAAGAAAAATATCTGAGAAAAAGATATTTCTCAGAAGGCTTAGGAGGAAAAGTATAGGTGGAAAGTAGAGAGGGCAGAGGAAAGGAATTCTTGAATGAGACTTTGAAACTTATCAGAAAAGTGTGTGTTTTGGCAGCACCGCAGTTCACTTGTCTATCTGCCCTTGTTTTCAGAATTTTCCCCAGAGAATACCTCCTTCAACAGATCCACCTGTATTCCCTCGCCGACCTGCAGCAGGTAAGCACTCAGAGGGGCTGTTTCATTTTCGTTGTTTTCCTGGAGAAGTCTCTTTGTCGACTTTGGTCTTTGCCATCATTGGGGTAGTTTTCATCACAAACCCTGATAATTCTTATTCAGAATGGGGGGAAAACTTAGTATAAAAAGATATATAGGACAATACCAAATGTTGGCAAGGATGTAGAGAAACTGGGGCTCTTATACATTGCTGATGGGATGCAAAGTACGTCAGCCACTTTGGAAACAGTTAAAAAATTAAACATAGAGTTACCATATGACCCACGAATTTTACTCCTAGGTATATACCCAAGACAGCTGAAAACATATGTCCACAGAAAAACCTGTACACAAATGTTCAGAGCAGCATTATTCATAATAGCAAAAAAGTGGAAACAACCCAAATGTTCATCAGCTGATGAATGGATGAACAAAATGTTTTGTAGCCGTATAATAAAATATTATTCTGCCATAGAAAGAAGTGAAGTACTGATGCATGCTACAACATGGATAACTCTTGAAAACATCATGCTAAGTAAAAGAAGCCAGACAGAAAAGAATACATACTGTATGATTCTATTTACATGAAATGTTTAGAATAGGCAAATCCATTGTGACAGAAAGTACGTTAGTGGTTGCCAGGGCCTGGGGAGAGTAAAGAAATGGGGAGTGCCTGCTCATGGATAAAGAGTTTCTTTGGAGGCTAATGAAAGTGTTCTGGAATTAGACAGCAGTAATGGTTGTACAGTCTTGTGAATATTCTGAAAACCACTAAACTGTTTACTTTAAAAGAGTAAATTTTATGGTGTGTGACTTTTACCAATTAAAAATTTGTATGAAAAGATGTAAAAGGCATTGAATGTGTTAAGCCCTTGACTTGTGCTCAAGCCAAAAAGTTGAATGGCTTTTGAAGTTTAGTAAAACATAACATAGCATGTAAGAGTTGAAATCATCCTTTTATACTTTTATTAGCACATGTACTTTTTTTTTTTTTCTTTCGTTTGTGAGACAAGAGTCTTGCTCTGTCGCCCAGGCTGGAGTGCAGTGGCGTGATCTTGGCTCGCTGCACCCTCCACCTCCCGGTTTCAAGCGATTCTCCTGCCTCAGCCTCCTGAGTAGCTGGGATTACAGGCATGTGCCACCACCCCTGGCTAGTTTTTGTATTTTTAGTAGAGATGGGGTTTCACCATGTTGGCCAGGCTGGTCTCGAACTCCTGACCTCAAGTGATCTGCCCACCTTAGCCTCCTAAAGTGCTGGGATTACAGGCGTGAGCCACCACGCCTGGCCACACTTGTACTTTTAATGATTGACCAGATTAGCAGCTAGGAAGAAACTGGCCTCTTGTGTGTTCAGCCCAAAATTCTAAATATGTTAAGCTTTGGTTAATCATTTAAATCGACAACTCACTCCTAAGAACTGTTGGACACTAGATAATGATTATTTTAAGAGTTCATTAACTAATAATAATAATTGTGACAACTTTCAGTGTATCTCAAACTGCTGTGATTCTGTTCTTTCGTTGTTGTTTTCCTCTCTGGTTGTTTTATCCAGAAGAATTTAGGTCAACTTAAAAACCATACAATAACTTCAGTCATTTTTCTGGCTTTAAATTACTTTTCAAGGATTTTTTGTGTCTTTTAATTTAATAACTTAAGAATTTTATGTTCTTTTTGTCCCCCCAGAGCTAGGAAAGTTATTTATTTATTTATTTATTTATTTATTTATTTGACAATCTCACTCTGTTGCCCAGGATGGAGTGCAGTGGTGTGATCTTGGCTCACTGCAACTTCAGCCTCCTGAGTTCAAGCAATTCTCGTGCCTCAGGCTCCTGTGTAGCTGGAATCACAAGCGTGTGCCACCAGGCCCGTCTGATTTTTGCATTTTTAATAGAGACAGGGTTTCACCATGTTGGCCAGGCTGGTTTCGAACTTCTGACTCAAGTGATCCACCTGCCTCAGCCTCCCAAAGAGCTGGGATTACAGGTGTGAGCCTCTGCTCCCTGCCAGAAAGTTATTTTAAATTAAATGGCAGACATGATTGTAGAGCATTTAATTGGAGAGCTCTAAGAAAAGACTAAGGTTTTCATTTCCATTTTGTGTCAAGTTGAAACCTATTTGCACATACCAGCTCTCCCAGCTTCTTCGGTCCTGCCTGATCTTTACTACATAGTCAGGCAGCAGTGGTCTGCTGGCAAGGGTGGAAAGAGGTATATTTTTACTTAAAATTGTTGTTCAAGGGGAAGAGTTGGTTAAAACACTTGTTATACATTTATCTATTTTCTGGAGTCTACCTGATCATAGTGCCTGAGGACACAGACTCTATCGTTTGAGAAGTATGTTTAAAGGCACTGAACATTCTTGTAAAGCTGGTTTAAAATAGAATAGGTGGGCTCCAAAGTGAGTACTCTTTGAAGGAGCCTTTCAAACGTGAGTTTCGGTATCTGACGAAGAGAAAGAATCAGAGTAATTCCATATTCATTTTAGGGTGTCAAAGTAATGTATCCATTTGGAATCGTACAGCCTGCTTTTTAAGGCTGTCCTATACCCTGCTGTCTTTCCCTCCACCCCCTTTTCTTTTTTTCCTCCTTTAATAATCAAACTATACATGCCAAGCAGCTTACTGAAATCAGTGGCAGGGGTATTCCTGGTGGCCAAGCCATTAGCCCCTGGAGCCCCATAAGCAGCTTAATCAGTTGTCAGCCTGGATAGTAAAGTGATCGAGGCAATCAACAGCTTATCAAACACGCTGTGGGCGGGGCAGCTAGAGCTCAATGCATCCATTTACTTAACAGCTCACTCTAACCTGGTTCTTTGTGCCTGGCTTTAAGAGCCCCAAACTTATCATATTTAGAGGAAGTTTAATTCGATTACTTTTTCTGCCTGAGGTGGGTTAAATTGGATTTAGCTTTTGATCTGTCTGCATCTTGGCTATCAGCACTGAAGGGCATCCCCTGCTTCATCTTTCCTTGGTTTCTGAGTAAATAACAAGCATGTTTCTAGATCTGAATTGTTCTTGCAAATATGTAAGGGAAGGGACACAAGGAGAAAGAACAAAAAATACCATTGCTTTGTGAAAGGGCATGTAGTGGTATGGGGAAACCCAACCTAACTGACCCAACCACCAGCCTTATGGCATCCTAGGCCATTTTGGCCTCTTCTGGACTGCTTCATCATCCCACTTATTGTCAGTGTCAGGCGTTTTAGAGTAAATTATTTTCCCCTGTTTGATTTTTCTCCTCACTGCTAAAGGTTTCTGTAAAAGCAGACCTGTCTGTCATATCAAGTAACTATAGAAAAGGGGCTTTTAATGTTCAGATTTTGCAGGGGAAAGGAAAATAAACTAAAGCAAGTGACTCAAGAGTTATAAATCAGAGAAAAACAATAAGATGGATATTCTTCTTAAATGCACAGATTCCTGTCTACTTTAAGATTTCTCTTGTTAATTTGATTTTTCCCATTAGCTTTTATTTAAAAAGCAAAACAGCCATTTTCCTCTTCAAAAAGAAAAAAAAAACAGGTAAGAATTTAATAAACATGGTGAAAGGAGATTTATAATTTAGAGATAATTTAAAATAATATAGTACACAAAGCACTAATAATACTTAAAGATGCTGAAAGAATTCTGGTACCAAAAAAATTGCAATCTAATTGTCTCTGTCTGGTTTTATATTTATAAGTAACAATCCCTAAAATTTTCACAGATAGACTCAATTCAACAATTTGGCTGAAGATTTCAAGCTGCCTTACCGCTGCTTTTGTTACGTTCAAGACACTTTTCCCCCTTTTCATGATTTGAATTACTGTCCCCTTTGCATGCATTTTCCTTTACTATTGTACATTTAGATGTGAAGAAAGAAATAGCAAGGATTGACAATTGCTTTGCAAAGGAGATTCCCTCCAGTTGTTCAGGAAGGGCTGTCACCTGCTCACTGTTCACTGAGTACCAGTTATTGGCAAAATTAATGCTCAGACTGAGTCCCTAATTGTCTGTTTCACCAGTGATTGAATTGCTCACTGGTATGACTTGCACATCGAAAAAGTAGTAGTTGTATATAGTCATTATCTGACTACAGTCAGTTGGTAGCATTTAGCCATAACCTGTAAAATAGAGCCAGGTATACCTGGCCTAGTAGCAGGGCCAAGGAAGACGCATAAGACAGGGGCAGAGGCTCTCCAAATCCTAGGAGCTCCAGGGAGCGTGGCCTTCCTTTGCTTATTCCTTGCGTTTAGAATTCCAGGTGAATTTCTGTTCTGCGAACTCGATATTGTTAGAAAAACATACTCAAGGCCGGGCGCGGTGGCTCGAGCCTGTAATCCCAGCACTTTGGGAGGCCAAGACGGGCGGATCACGAGATCAGGAGATTGAGACCATCCTGGCTAACACGGTGAAACCCCATCTCTACTAAAAAATACAAAAAATTAGCCGGGCAAGGTGGCAGGCGCCTGTAGTCCCAGCTACTCGGGAGGCTGAGGCAGGAGAATGGCATAAACCCGGGAGGCGGAGCTTGCAGTGAGCTGAGATCCGGCCACTGCACTCCAGCCCGGGCGACAGAGCGAGACTCCGTCTCAAAAAAAAAAAAAAAAAAAATACTCAATTCCATACTCTTTGAATGTAACTCTGACAGAATGTACTGTTCATTTTTTAAAAAATAAAATCTTACAAATTTTCTTTCAGGAGGTATGAATGCATGGTGGTTTTTGAACTGACGAAGTGCTTCCTTGTAAAGGAGATAGAAGGCAACAACTCAGCATGTGTGAATGCACGGACTAGTATTGGTGCATGTTTTGAATGGGGAAACTGAGGCACTGCTTTTTAAGAGCTTTTCCTTGGTTAGTTACTTTGGGAAGAATAAATAGAATAGAATTTGTGTTTGGTTATTTTCAGTCTATCCAGCATTATCACAAATCCATGAGAAGGCTTTAAGACAGGAATGCAATAAAAAGATATGCTCACCTGAGATGGAGAGAGTTGTACCATAACTCTCAGTGCCTTAACTTTCGGCGTCAGCTATCTGCTTTCCCTGTTAAGTATGTGACAAACCATCTCCTTACTCCCCTTGGCGCTTTTAACACTGATAAAAAGGTTCCAGATTTTACCAGTAGAATACATTAGTATATATAAATAAATGGTCAAGAGTTCTTAGTTGTTCTTAAGGAGCAAATCAGAAGTCTGGTTTAATATGTCATTCTTTGGACTGTGTAAATGATAGCAGGTTTATTCTGAAGTTCCTTCTATTTGCTGAAAGAAAAGGTCAGATTTGACTTCTAAATTTTGGCTACCTGTGCTCTTGTGACAAAACCTAAAATGTATATTAATGACTAACTCTTCTGGTATTACTCACCTTTGGGGGCATATGTAAGTTAAGCATTGAATGATTCTATTTGTGGCGATTCATGAGAAAGGATACTGGATGATCCCATGGGTGAGGTGGCTGGTTAGAGTAGGCCCTCCACCCTACTCCCTCCACTGCCCACCACCTCACCCCCGCACACACACACCCCTTTTGTGAGACAACCTAAGGAGCTAATTTTCTCATTATTCGCCTTCCCTGGGCCCTACATTTCCAAATGGGACCCTACCTTTAGGTGAACGCATTTAGATTGTAGTTAATAGGAAATATATTACCCAAGAAAAATAAATTATTATTTTGGCAGAAATTCATTTGAAAACATGGCATAATATTGAGGGTGGGAAGACATTTCAACAGATAAGTTTTAATGAAAGAAAAAGGACAGGAAAGTCTGGAATTTGGAGTACTTACTAAAGAGTTGTGAAGTGGGAAGGATGCCAGGTGGGAGGACCCACAGCACTCAAGAGCTGTGAAAAGAGAGAGGAGTGACCAGATGTACACTACCTTTCTGGAATTGCCTAGCACTGCCTAAACTGTTTAATACTAAAGCAATAAACACTTACACTCAGCAACTGATGTAACTTATGCAACATAGAAATGTTCAGTGGATGGATGGATGGATGGATGGGTGGGTGGATGGGTGACAAAGGTGTATATGTACATATGTTCATACATACGGTATCGTGAACTCACTGGTTCTCTCTCCCCTAAAAAGCAAAGCAAACTGGTTAATTTAACATCAGTCGCTAAACAAAACAAAATTAGAAATGCTGACTATGAAATATAACAATGCACAGAATTCTAAAACAAAATAAAAATCTCTGCTTATGTCAGAATAATAGTGAGTTGTTTCGTGTTGCAAACTTTCTGAACACTCACTCCATATCCTGAACAGTTAACTCTTCGGTTAACTTTTTTGCTAGTCCAGCATACCCACAGAGCTTAGGAATTGTCATCCGTGTGACCTCAACATTTGTTAGAATTGGCCCCTGAAGAAATAAATCAAACGGTGGTCTTACCTCAACTGTTTTCTAGCTGGTAAGATCACAAAAAGGCAATGTTTAAGACATTTCAAGGCCACTTTTAAACAACATGCTTTACTGAATTCTTCTTCAAGGAAGTGATGTTAGTTATTTTGCATGGCCCTGACCCACCAAGCAAACCCATAATCAGAGAACGTTTTTCTCTATGGACGCTCTTCACAGAGTCAGCAGACAAAGGCCACGCCTAAGTGGGCACCCAGCACAGCTGCCCTTTCACCAAAGAAGTAACAGGTGATGACCTTTATTCACACAGGGGTTGACATCTTTGAATCCACAGCCCACAGGAACACAGCGCCTCAGTACCCACAACCGAGTCACCAGTCCCAAGCCTCAGGAGCCCAAGGAACTTGTATTCATAGCTTCTCAGCAGCCCTGATCCCTACACCATTGTCCACCCAGGCATTAGCGGCCAGGATAACTAATTAGGAGCATTCGGATTTAACAAGCAGAAAAACAAAGCGTGACAGCTCGCCTGTGTTGTTCCATGGCCGGTGCCTGTGTCCGCTGCAGCCGGCACTGCCTTCAGAAACCCCTGAACGTAATCTGGGGCGAGACGGGAGCGAGGCCTCCATTAAAACATCACTAAATCTCTGTTAGCTATTTTAGCCACAGCTCTCCCAACCAATTAATGAGCTAGGAAAGAGGACCGTAAGTTATTTGGGGAGCAAATTATGCCTTTTAAACAAGTGGGTTTTCAAAAAATGAATGCACAGGCTAAGATCTTGCTGGGGCGGAGGAAGGGATTGAGTGTTATTCTTTGAAGTTTTGATAGGCAGGCAGCGGAGCAAATGGAAAAGCCCTGTTCCTCAGGAGAGCAGGTGTATCTTGAGTGGGTGCCGAACAGTTCATGCCTCACACTCAGTCTCCCAGGGTGTTTCACATCGTACAGGGAGGGGAAAGGGAAGAGTGACAACTGCTGCTAGGTGCCAGGACTGGAGCTGGGTCTTCTGACTCCTCACTTTCAGTCTTGACATCTTTACTACCTGCTGAGCATAACTACTAGTTTTCTGATGTTTTGATGATGGAACCAGTTAACTGAGTGGGTTAAAGCAGGTGATTAGCAAGGTGCTGGTGCAGATTGTTCTCTATGCAAGCTGACTTTTCTGTTCTGCAGACCCAGGCGCCGCAGCCAAATTCCACAGATGATTGAAGGATCGGGGGAGCTCGGCATGGGCTGTGGCAGAAAATGTGCAGAGCGAAGGACAAAGTTACTACCTTTTGTGGAAGCCAGATCAGAAAGATAACTGTGTGTTGTGAGAGGTGGATAGAGAGCCCTGTTGCCCAGGTGAGAAGGAGCTCAGTTGAGATAAGGATTCCAGGAGCCAACTCTAGCCCCTCAGGTAGAGACAACACAATACCGGTTGAGGCTGCAGCTGTGGAGTTGGATGGTGTTTAGTCAGTGCTGAAATCACTCTCCTGGGAGTCCTTTGGCATGCAGCCATCTGAGTGCTGTTGTTGTTGTTGGGTTTTTGTTGTTTCATATTTTAAAAGAGCAATCATAATACTGACGAAGTGAGGGCCTGTTTTCAAAGAACATTTACTTAAAGATATAGAGTAAGGTTAGCATCGGTCTTGCCAGTGGTAGAAACCTATGCCACCAACAGCCATTGTGAAAGGGACCCAGTAGTCTTTCTGGTTCTTCATTTCTATTCAGTTTGATTCAACAAGTGTGTATTGATTGAATGCTTTCTGTGTGCTAATCATTGAGCTAGCCACAGAGGAGGCAAAGGTGATTAAGCCACAGTCCCTTCCCTCACTGAGCTCACAGTCTGATGAGAGAGGCAGATAGGCATTAAGTCAGGGGAGTTGAACCTAGGGTACTTGGGGAATACATCTGACCAAGTGTGTGGCAGATTGTATTTTGCAAAGATAGCTGCAACAGTATCTTCCATCCCACATGTCTTTTTTACACTGTGACTCTGTTGCTCCTCCTATTCAGTGGTGGGATCTGTGTTCCTTCTCCCCAAATTTGGGCAGACCTGTGACTATGGAAGTGATGCCATGTGATTTCCAAAGCCAAGTCATAAAAGGTAATATAGGTCCAACCTGGTGCTTTCTGGAGATGCTCACTCATGGCAACCCAGTGGCCATGTTGTAAGGAAGTCCAGATGAGCCCTCATAGAAGAACCACATGAGCAGGCCTCATTGGTGGTGGTTCTAGCTGACAGCAATCATCAACCACCAGAGAGATGAGTAGAGACAACCCCACATGATTCCAGCTGCTATAGCCTTCAAGTCTTCTCACCTGAGCCTATAGATGAGGCTGCAGATATTATGGAGCAGAAACAAACCATCTCCATAGTGTCCTTCCTGGAGTCCTGACCGACAAAATGTGTGAGCCCATAATAAATGATTATTTTGCACCACTAGGTTTTTGTTGGTTGGTTTTTTTTCACCACTACGTTTTGGGGTAATTTGTTTTGCAGTAATAGTAACCAGAACACCCAGTAACTTGGCCATCAGGGAAGGCTTCTTAGAGGCTGTAAGTTAAAATTTTGGCCCATAATCATGAGCCAGAGAGAGAGGACTAAGAGGAGAACTTTGAGGCCTTGGTAGCCTTAAACCATTCTAATGATCTGATCTACAGTGTTTCTTCCATGGGGGCAAGCTGAAGAAAATTTTGACTACTAACTGTGACTTTTTTTTTTTTTTTTGAGATGGAATCTCGCTCTGTTGCCAGGCTGGAGCGCAGTGGCGTAATCCCTGCTCACTGCAACCTCCGCCTTCCAGGTTCAAGCGATTCTCCTGCCTTGGCCTCCTGAATAGCTGAGATTACAGGCATGAGGCACCAAGCCCAGCTAATTTTTTTTGTATTTTTAGTAGATATAGGGTTTCACCATATTGGCCAGGATGGTCTTGATCTCTTGACCTTGTGGTCCACCCGCCTTGGCCTCCCAAAGTGCTGGGATTACAGTATAAGCCACCGCGCCCGGCCAACTGTGACATTTCTTAACATTGTCCGCATGCTTCAGGATTATTCTGATAAATTGTCTCAACAAAACATTCATAGAATGAGTAAAACGGTATTGCTTCACTTCCCTCAGAAATGAAAGATTCTGGGATGTGCCTTGAGGTGCAAAGAACGAGGAACTGAGTTTTAAATCTTTCCATCCCACCTGTGCACCTGAAATATGAGCCCGACTCTGTCATCAAGCCCCTCACTGGGTGTTTTCGCCCTATTCATCTATTCATTCAGCAAATATTTATTAAGCATGTACTATGTATCAGGAGCCATGTTTCCCCTGAAATTGAAAGGGCACATTTTCTTAGAAACGGACTGGTGATTCTTACTGATTATGGTCAAATTCCTGCACTCTGTCCGTGTGCCAGGAACTTACAGTCAAAGCTGCTTATGATTCTGTTCCACTTGGTGATGTCCAGTGGGATTTCATCCCTTGATGCCTTGGACTAGCCATCCCACCACACCCATAGTTGGTCTTCAAGGGACCAGAGGGATAACCAGAAGGCACTATCTATTCAGGTGTTTTAGGGCTGAGGAGGTTTCCAGCACTTCACCCAATTCAGAAATGTAACCAGGATGCATGGCAACCTCAGAAGACAGCATTGCCACATGTGTCTTAGCGGACATCATTGTCTCCATGTGATAGTGGCCTGCAATTCCCTCCATATTTGGAACTTGCAGCTTTTGAACAACATTACACCCGTCCTTGTGGGGAAACAGAGAAGGCTGATGGGGGCAGCTTTTCATATTGTTGTTTGGCTTTTATTTGAACTTCTGGCTAAACCTAGTGGACCATCAACACATTTGCTCCTGGAATTTTATTTTATTTATTTTTTTGAGACAGGGTCTCACTCTGCTGCCCAGGTTGGAGTGCAGGGGCATGATCATGGCTGGCTCCAGCTTTGACTTCCTGAGCCCGAGCAATCCTCCCATCTCAGCCTCTCAGGTAGCTGAAACCATAGGCATGCGCCACCACGCCACGGCTGATTTTTTAAATGTTTTGTAGAGATGGGGGTCTCCCTATGTTGCCCAGGCTGGCCTTGAATTCCTGGACTCAAGCAATCCTCTCACCTCAGTCCCCTGAATAGCTGGGACTACAGGCTTGCACCACCATGCCTGGCTAATTTTTGTGGGGTTTTTTGGTAGAGACAGGGTTTTGCCATGTTGCCCAGGCTGATCTCGAACTCCTGGGCAAGGGATTTGCCCGCCTCAAACTTCCCAAGTGCTGGGATTATAGGCGTGAGCCAGCACGCCTGGCCCATCTCACATTTTAAAGGAGGGAATTCTGGCTCTAGAACAGAGCTATGTTGACTGGGATTCCTGCAGAGACCAGGCAAATGGCATCTGTGCCTGAAGCAGGCCCAAGGGGAGACTCAAGTTGGGCAGATGAACCAGAGAGAGCTTCCATATCTGAAGGCGGCAGCTGTTACTCAGTAGCCCCAGAGTTGTCTGCTCTTCCCGTTTTCCAAGAGAAGCCGGAAATCTGTATTTTTATGTGAAATTTCTCAATATTTAAACACTCTGCAGGCCAAACAAAACACAGCCACCAGTTTTGACCTCTGCTTTATAATAGAGAATGCCTGCTTTTGTTCCGTCAAACTAATGAATGCTCAATTACGAGAAGGAATTTGGAGGTTAGTGTTAGATTGTGCTCCTCAAAAGGCGGCAGACCCCATCCCAAACCCTTGAGATACTAATTGACAGACTTGCACAGGCTAACAGCTGGGCTCTGAAAGTGGACACACACAAGGAAACAGCCAAGCTATTCCAGGTCACTTTGCAAGGTCAGGGCAGCAATGCAAACATTAGGAAGGCCGAAGACAAAGGTCAGGTGGCAGCAAGGAAGCCCTGCATTCCCTTAAGCTGTTGGTTGATAAATCATATTCTAAAGGTATCACCAGACTCCCTCTCCCTGGCATTGCTTTGTGAGGTGGAAAATTAAATAGAAATCAAAATTAAGATGGCTGTCAGGAGCTTTTAGGAGGCCAGCACGCCAGTGTGAGGTGAACATGGGATGGAGTTTCTGCCTGGAGCAAAGGTCTCCAAAGGGATGATGATATCCGACATTGGGCATTGCAGAGGTGCTGGCCACTGCAGCGGTCGCACACTGGAGCTTTGGAGGCCGCCTGCCCATGTTCAAATGCCAACTCACCCCAGACACACTAGGTGACCTTGGGCAAGTCACTTCTCTTTGTGCCTTAAGCACTTCATCTCTGAAATGAGGATAATAGTACCTGCCCCAAAGGTTGTTGTGAGGCCTTAGAGTTAGTATGCATAGAGCACTTAGAACTTTGCCTGTCACTTAAGGGCTTAGGGGATAGGCGCTTTACTAGGGGTAGAGTATTGCTATTAGTGTTGTTGTGAGGTGTGGACCTTGTATAAATGACTCCTGGGAGCTTTCTTCGGCGTCATCAAGACACTGCATCTGTGGACACTAGACGACAACCATCACCACAAAAGTAATGCTTGCTGCGTCCCAGTTTTGCCCCTCATGTTCTGTAGGGGAATCTAGGCCATAGACACCTGCTATAGCTGCAGCTATACAATCACCATATGGAGCATTACCTTGGTAGGGGACACAGAAAAGCCTCATTTCCTCTTGCCTCCAGGATGGTCCTAGACCAGACCTCCCCAGTGGCTCCACAGGGGAATTGCACCTGGACAGCCCCTACCCTCTTGAGCCAGGGTATTGTCCCTAGTCCTGCACTTGAGTGAGTGGTACTACCTACCCTCTGAACCTTGCCACCTGTCTTTGCTCTTGCTGAGAGAGGTCTTCAGAGCTTGCACCCGAAGGTGGGTTTTGGCTTGCTGAAAAAGGGAAGCACCTTCAGCACTTGTTTCTTGGAAGAATGCATGACCTTTTGGTGGGCTATGCACAGACATCTTTTCAATTTTAACAGAAAGCAGTCTTTCTGTAAATTTTGTAGAATCCTGGAGTACACATTTTTGTGCTTAAAGAAAACCATGGAGTCCACACTCTTTCTGCAGCTGCAGAGAGAGCTCACCAGACTGAAATGTTGGCAGAAACAAAGAGACGCCATGTTCCTTCCCACCTGCAATTATAGTTTTACTAGCTTGTAAAGCACACATAGAATTTGCAGTACATTCTTCCCTTGCAGTAGGGGAGAGGCCCTGCTGTGAATGTAATTGGCTTTCTAGCTTCCTTTAACATTGAGGTGGAAGGGAGCTGGACTGAAGGGCCTTTACTCTTAGAATTAACTGATGTTGAATTGTGTTTAAATTCCATGCATCTCCCTGAATGCATTTGTTCCATTAAGTCTTAGTCAGAAGTGGAGGCACAGCTTACCTCTGAAAATATCCCAATCCCTATCATTTCTCATCACTTTGTAAAGGCTGAGTTTCTTTCTTTTTAAAAAATGAATTTTTAACTTAACCCTGGTAGGGATTATTTTCCATCCTGTTAACCTCTGTTAAAGATGTATGGCATCTGTAAATGACAATTTCATACAGTATAGCCCATTTGGGTCACTTTTTATTCTGACTTTGGCCTTGCAACTATATCATTTCCCAGGAAGAGGACCACAGGCATGTATTTGGATGGAAACTGTATTACTTTACTTCTCAAGTCTTCAGTTTCTTCATTCATGAAGTAAGAGGATTGGATTAAACAATCTTTACAGCCCCTTCCAGCTCTAGGGCCCTTGTTCTGTGCTTTCATAGACCTCGAGAAGTGATGAAATTGTGGAAGTCTTTCTGCATGTATCTGCTTTCGGGGGCCTTCCAGCCAGTTTGCACAAAGTATCCAGGCTTCTGGGTGCAGCAAGGAACCTAGAATGCGAGCCAGGCCGCTGAGTGTCAGCTCAGCACCTTCAGTTCTAACTGACAAATGGCTGGATTTCCATTGGCCAAAGGTCAACTATTTCAACTTTTTGTCAGGAAATAGCAGCTTTAAGCATTTTGACAAATATGATCTGAAGGACAGCTTATTAAAACAAGTTAAATATATTGATTTTATATTTTCCTTAAAGACAAATTGTCACCTTACTACCTTACAATTCAGTGGCCGTTAAAATAATGCCCAGCAAACAAAAGTTGGCCAATAAAAATGTGCAGAAGATAATATGCCACCTAGTGGGTTTCCTCCTAAGACGAGCAGCACCAATCAGGTTATCTGGTGAACTGTGAGTTGGCATTTGTGTTTGGGCTAACAGCAGAGAGCCCATTGCAGCTGAGGTTCGCAAGAGGTGGAACTATTTAAGAACTTGGGCTATAAGGGACATTAAGGGAATGGGGCACCATAAGGGAAGCTTTAGAGCTGAACAACAAAGGAAATCAGGGGAAAGAGACTGTGAAAGGATTCTTGGTTAGAGCAGAGGTCAAGGGCACAGAGAGAAAGTAGGCTAGGCAATCACGGGTAATAAAACTACTGATTTGAGTTTCACCTTTTTCTCTTTTCTCTGCCTACTGCCTGCTGGGGACAGGGACTGATCATCTGGCAGACAGACAGATATGCTGAAAGGGGCAGGATCCTCGGCCTGTGTGCTCCACCCCTGGCTTGGTATGGTGCAGTCTCTTGGAAGGCAAGGGGCCTGCCTGCTTCACTCTCATTTTGTAGCACTTAGCCAAGAGGAGAGAGGGAGAGGTCAGAAAACCCACGACCCAGGATGACAGCAACAGTTTATCCTTTAGCAAGTCACAAAATACCTCTGCTGCTTAAAGTCTTTCCTTGTAAAATGAGAAGGTTGTACT